AGTTCTTGACTGAGTGCTCACGTTTATTGAAACCTCGCATAAATCAAGAAATAAGTACGTGTACAAAGTGTACGAAAGCATTCCTTTATTTGGCCTTATCATACGATCACAAAAACAACTTTTTAAAATCTTTTTTGGGGTGGTCCTCGGGTAAGCGCCCACCCCCATTTTCCCCTGATTTTGTATGTTCAGGCCCCTGGGCGTGTGCCCGGGGTAATACGGTATAAGAGAGCATTGGATTGTGGGAAAATGAATGTTTATCAACACAAATGTCACACTTGCGCAGGTTGACAACCGCTGTGTTTATTTCAGATTATAGCCATTGGTAATTGTGAACTGACATCTGAGCAATGTAAAGAGTTAGGTTTCTCTTCAAACCTCTTCTGCAGTTCATGCAATGAACTTGATCAGTTCCAGTTAAGTGAACTCAAAGACAACTGTGCTATGTGTTGCCAGAAAGATGAGTCTGATCAAGCCAATAAGGTGAGCTGTGAAAACATGCATAGGATTACAGTGGGCGGAAGATCTTTACATACATCAAACTCCTGCTTCCGGTAGACAATTACTAAGGGACTTTGCAACATCTCCAGATACTTTCCTAGATACTAGAGTGATCGGTGTAGACACAATAAAGTTACATATTCGCTCATGTGACAATTAATCAAAACACTGGATGCGGTATGCTAGTGGCCACGAGGGACGAGGGGTAGTTGGACGATTCCATTGCTTTGTAGATACAAAAAACATTACTGTGTAACACTTGGAAGAAAATATGATACAAACATAAAACTGGGAACGAGAAATGATAAATGTAAATTTGGTAGTTTATTGAGATATTCATAATATGTATTAGCGATATGAGTGCCGCGTTCAATTTCTCGCATAATGGCATGTTCCATTGCCTGTTTGCCATAACACTCATCGCCCATCTTTCCTGGAATCTTCTACTTAGGTTCACCTCCACACCATCACCCATGGAGCGCCATGCGTCACCATGTACCAGTTTCAAATATCCTTCATATCTTAGACGAAATTTGATAAACTCAACAATTTAACGACGACCCATACGAATGTCAGAACATACCGATGTCTAACCGGTGCTACAGAAACGCCTCACAATCCCTTGAACCCTTGCCCTTGCTAGTCCAACTCCCACGGCGATCATTCACAAGAGGCGAATAATCTTCATCTCGTTGTCAATAATTTTTCAAAATCAGAAACTGCATTCAAAACTAAACTGTTCTCACAAGGATAATTTAGGTAATTTCATTATATGTTAGGGGCATTTTTAAATATTAGTATCAACTAGGTTTTATTATTTTCCTGAAATATTGAAAATAGAATTTATTTAATGAACGTGCATATGTATGCATGAAATAATAGTGTCCGATATCAACAATGAGTAAAACTTGATTTGACTGGAAAGTTTGACTGGACGCTTACATGTTGTAATAGTTGAACCCATCTGCAACTCTGGTCCGTTGTTTTGATTAACTGTCTCATAGGTGGGTATGTAACTTTATTGTGTATTGTGTCTAGAACGGTCACTGGATCGTCTAGAAATTAGTCTGGGGATGTTGCAAAGTCGGTAATTAGATGTATGTAAATATCTTGCACTCGCTGTAAGAAAGTGTGTTTCTGGTAACATTGAAAGCAAAAGTGGGGTACGTAGGTAGGAATAAGTTTAATAATTTATTTTATCCTAACTTTTATTGAAATTAATTAACACCACATCTTGGATGGACAGGTTGATATTTGGTAAAAAAATGTTGAGTTTACTACATCACCTACCAGAAAGTATGTGGAAATATTAAATTCCATTTATTACTCATAGGCTTAACTACAGATTACAGCCCCAATCGAAAACTATTAGGGAATGTACCCTGTTCACAAAGAACATCTTAGGGTAGCATTCCTTATAGAAAAAAAGACCTCTCCTAAGGGGCCGACCCGCGCACGCTGGGTGGTCACGCATACGAGGTGTGATCTGATATTCCCTTTCGTTTCCGCTTACCAACGACAGCTATATTTTTACACTTCGTGTTACAAGCACGACTGAGAATTATCTAGAGTACACAGTATCTAGTGTGGCTTTTCATTATTAGGGGCCCCATTTTTGCCTGTCTTTTAGTGGAATTGCTGGCTCAGTTTAATTTCACCGGATTCCGAATTTTGGTGTGGTGAATTTACTCGTTCCTATTTTCTATCTCACTTTTGTAATTTTTGCAGACTCTAATATGCCTATGTCTCAGAAAAAGACGGGGACTGCTTTGAGGCGATTTGTGATTTATGGGACCATAAAATGTGGCTCAGGTGCGAAGCAGGTTGGAAAACTGAAAGCAAGCGATCCAGGGCTGGTAGAGATTGCGGAAAGAAGGGGAAATCCGTTACTGCCTCTAGCGCTAGTGTGTCGATTCTATGAGTGAGAAATCTTTCCCTACGCTTGGTAGTCACCACGAGGCTCGCCTCCGGTTGACATCCAAGAATTTGGGAGAGTTGTCACGATCTGACTCACTGCTCGAAGTGGCGGGGTCAATGATTGAGACAAGACCGCTGGAACAGTTTACCGTTGAAGTAACGGACAGAGTGGTCGATAGTGCGGGAACACCTATGGTGGATCTAAATTCAACGTCGAGTGGGCTTCCCCATCGGATATTACTGAGGCTAATGAGCATCGGTCAACCGCTTTTGCGGGGGGATCAGAGTTTCCAGACACCACGGCTGACGTTGATAAATGGCGTGTTCTCTCTGGGGCGCTGACATCTGCACTAAGTCCCGCGGTGGAATCAGCACGTCTCTCAGAGACAGAACCATTTCAATCCACCGGTTTTTTACCGTTACTGACATAGCCTGATTGCATTGCGCAATCACAGGGACAAGCCCAGTTGCCTCCCTGTACCGGTACAAGTCAAGGTGAAAAACTACTTTCCCAGGGTGAAGAGATGGCTTAGACAGTCTGGATGCGTAGTCTGGCTTCAAAAGTCAACTCCCTTCTGCAGTCTCAGGGTAGGACTCAGGAGGACCTAGGGGGATAAGTCAGGTGAAGGGGGGCTGAGATATTGCCTGTACCTCCACCACCAGGGCTAGGGTCAGGTGTGTCCCTTTTTCCCCAGTGATCTCTCCTTTAGAGAGTCAGTGGGGGGACAATTCACATCAGTGGGAGGGGGAGCGCCAACTTCTTTTATAGAAGGGGGCCCTCTCTCCGGAACGGGGGCTACGCAAACCGTCGATGGTTCCCCTGAGTGGGACACTCACGCGGTACCACAGCCTTCTCCACGGGTTCCGTCTTGATCCCGGTACCCATACTTTTGTTAAGGTGGGTAGTGCGGATCGGGAAGGCCACGTTGCATGGTCATTTGGCCGGCACCAGTGCCTCCTAGTGCATAGGGCTTTACGGGCGGAACTTAGACAAATTAATTTTTTCAAATGGGTTTCTCTAGCGTTAGAGCGTCAGCTCACCTTGCTAAGTTCCGACCGTCTGTATGCTCAGCAACGAACCTCGATCCTCGGACAGATGGGCCAGTTCCTGGCGGTGCAGAAACTCGCTATGTGCGATATCCTGCAAGTCTATACTGCCCTCTTGGCAGGGGCGGTTTTAGTATATCTGAACCCATATCTTGACGACTGGTTAATACACAACCGAGACAGAGAGGTTTTAGTGGAGCATGTGCGGTTGACGCAGACGCTCCTACACGAGTTGGGCTTTTTATTAAATATTGCCAAGTCCAACCCAATACCGTCCCACAGCCTGGTTTTTCTGGGTATGTAGTTCAACACAGAGCAAGGATGCGTTCGCCAGCCAACTCCGGTCGACTGGAACGGTGTCGATGCAGGAACTGATGCAGCCTTTTTGGCAAATGACTTCAGTTCGTCGTCTGGTTCTATTCGCAGCTCTCCGGTCTCATCCGATTCAGGGGTGCTCTCTGGACTACAGGATACACATGTGGAACCTGGCGTTCAGAGTTCAATCGTCAGACCAAGCGATGATGGCCCTCCTTTGGCAGAAGGATGCATGGTTCTTGGAAACTGGTACATCCCTAGATCCGACGACTCCCTCGCTGACTCTCATTACAGATGCGTCGCCCCAGGGAGGGGGCGGTCATCTGAGGGACCTTCAGGTCCAAGGGGACATGGCCGTCCGCATATTTGAACCGCCACATCTATTGCTTGGAGTTGCAGATCATTCCACTGTCTGAAATTTTTTTCAGGAAGTCGCACACCACCACAGAGTCCTGCTTCGGACAGACAACACCTCAGTAGTGTCGTACATCAAGGAGGGGAGGGACGTGTTCCTCCACGTTGTCGAAGCTAGCGGAGGAGATTCTCCTATGGTGCCGAGATAACAAGGTTGAGCTATACGCAACAGCGGCGGACGCCCTCTCGAGACGTGTTCGGTTCCAGAACACCGAGTGGCAGCCCCCCAATCTCCCGACGTATGTGTCACTCCTCCTGGAGATGAGTGCTTTCATCACGTATGCTCTATCGATCTCTTGTAGTCGCAGGGACGCTTACGCTTTTTTCACTTCCAACTGGGCACCAAGTGTTGGAGAAGTTGTGACTCAAGCCCACTTGTCTTCTGACTTGGGTGGCACCCTATTGGCCTGTGAAGGTCTGGCTCCCAATGTTGCTAGAACTTCTAGTCGAGTCTCCCGTGGGGTTGCCGGATCTTCCAGATCTGTTATCCCAGCCGGATGGCACTCTACCGATGAACCCCGTGCTATTCCATATTCGCGTGTGGAGGCTATCAATAAACTTGTGCAAGCACTAGGCTTTTCTGCAGAGTTGTCCAAGTTCCTTGCTTTGGCACAGTCGTACGGCACCAGACGTTTGTACGATTCCAGATGGAGACCTTTCATTGATTGGTATGACGGAAGGGAGACTGATCATCTCAGTCCCTCTATTAGCAAAGTAGCCGATTGTTTCCTACATCTTTGATCAAGGAAAATCTATATCGTCAATTCTTGGATATCTGTCAGTTTTATTCCCAGTTTTATAGAATCTGCTGGACTGAAACTGGTTTCGAGTTCCATTATGTTACAACTGTTTAGTCTTTCCGCTCGAAGGGGCTAGCTAATCCTCCTAACTGGGACTTGTCGCTGGTCTAAAGGCGTTACGACACTTCTAAAGGTGTTACCCCCCTTCGAGCCTATGGATAAGGCAGACGCTGAATTGTCACTATGTAAACAGTTTTTCTTATGGCTCTAGCGTCTTGTAGGCGGCGCTCAGAGATAGGGGCACTGTCCTTTAGTGGCGGATGTGCCTCCTTTATGAAGTCACTAGTTAGTCCTCGCTCGGACATAGTCTGACTACGGGGACTTATGTTTTGCCCTGTGTGCGTCTGTGTGTTCGTGCGTCCGTGATCACCTGTATCTCGAACATGCATGGACCGATTGAGTTCAAACTTCACTCATACATCACTCATAATATGGGACATATGCACATGCATTGTTTTCATGATCCGATTAACGATAGCCGAATAGCGT